TTCTATTTGGAAGATTTAGCAGATTTGGCAGATTTGGCATATTTAGCATATATGTCATATTCGACAGGTCTGTCAGTGTTACTATTTGCTATAACTATTATAATAATTTATTACGTGATTTTATATACCTTTAAATAATTAAATCTTAAACAATAATTCAGTATATTATTTATCAGAAGCAAATTTTTGGATAATTTCTATTTGGATAATAGTATATCATTAGGTTTACTAATTTATTTTCTACGCCATAATTGGCTATTATAATTAAGATTAGATAGGATTAATATTAGTATTACTTTATAAAAACCTAGTATTTTGTAATCTAATAATTATAAAATTTGTATCTAACTTGTAATGACATTTTTTGCTAACTTTTCAATAATATTTCATTAAAGATTTAATGAAAATCAGTCGAAAGTCAACACAAAAATTGTTAAAAAATAGTAAATAATATCTAACGTCAGCTAATATTAATTAATCTGTGAAACTTTACAATATATCTGCAAGTATAATTTGCTTAAATATTTTTTTTATAAATAGATTATTTTTTATTTACTACTATTTACTATTATTTATATAGCTTTTTTTTATTAAAAAGTTTGTTAAACTAAAATTAAATATAAAAAAAAATCAATTATAAGCAATAAAATTCTATTAGTAATAAAATTATAAGTAATAAAAATAACCTTTAAAATATTAAAAATTAAATGCCAATCATTTTAAAATTACTAATCACTAGTAAAATTTTTGTCACTTTGTAATGGCACAGCAATAGTTTTTGTTAATTTATCTAAAGCTTTATTCTTTTGATATTTCTTTTTTTATAGTTAATTATAAATGCATATTGGATAAATCTGTATAATTGTGATAATGAATTCTGTGTCTTTAATTTATTTATATTTATAGCATTTAACCAATAACTTAATATATGAATTGTCAGATTTGTTCACAAATTTGTGTAATTTTATTCTTTTGTAAAGGTTCTGTTATATTTCTATAATTTAAAAAAAATTAGTATAAACTAAAAAATTAAAGAAAATTTAGTACTACATGACTAATAAACTAACCATAATCTTTATTCTTTGAATAATTTATAATACCATTAATCAACTTATTATTAGAATCTTCAAGGTTCTTATTAGCTATTTAGATATTCTAAACCTTCAGCTGAATTTAAATCACACTTGAAAATTTGGCATATTAATTCTTGAATTGCATTTTTGAAGGATGTCAAATATGAAAAAGAAACTTTCAATTTATCTAAGTAGTCATGATGAACTATAGTCTATTATATAATTTTATTAATAATTTATAAAACATTCATCAGGAAAGACCTCTTACTTACTTTATCTTTCTGATTTTGTGTCATATTTGACAAATTTGAAAAAATAGGTGATAATGCAATTTACTTTCCATTTGTAATAGATACTTGTATTAATAAATACATAATACCAGTTGCAAAATATTTGAATTTGCACATAACTACAAATATAATTAGTAGGTTATCATTTCATTAAATAGTGATAAAACTATTATATTATTTGGATCAAATATATTTGAAAAACCCTGAAATGTGAATCTTAATTCAGGATTTGGTGATATTTTTAAAGGTATGACTATTAGAGATCGAGATATAACTCTATAAAAATGAAAAATCAGTTAGAGAACTTGATCTTGATTTTAGATCTAACAATGGTCTTAGAGGTGTAGTTAATAGGATTAATAAGATATCTTGATATGTTGTATTATGAAAACTATTTAGAGAACTAGTGTTTAAATATGATATTGAAGATTGAGATAATTCTTCATTTATAACTCCTTCAATTCTATTTAGTTTATAATTTAAGACTAAAAAGATAATTACAATTTAATAAATAATATTAATTGCAAATTAAATAATATTACTACCTTATAGATTATCAACATTATTTAGAAGGTCATTAATTAACTGATAATTATTATATAAAGGTAATGAAACAACCATTTCTTTATTTTTTTACGTAAAGTGATAGTTTCCTTTTTCTTATGATCACATTTTATACTTATATTTGTAAATTGTTGGTTATTTTTATCATATAATATTATCAGCTCAATAGTATCCATCAAAGATTCAGGTGAGACTTCTTTCTTCTTGTTACATTTTGATACATAGTAGTATTAGCATTCTTTTATTTTTGTAACATAATAATTTTTTGATAAATATAAGTTTTTCTTTTTTACATGAATTATTAATAAAGTAACAAATTATAAAATGTATTATTAATCAAACTTAATAAGTTTATTTATTTATAAAGAAAAGTTAAAATAATATTTAATGGTAAATTAATTTTTTTTGAATAGATAATCTAATTCTTCTCAAAAAATGAATATTAAATACTTTGATATGATATATAATATTTAAAATATTCATGTTGTTAACCCTATGCTCAACCGTCGAACTTAGGGTAACTATGACTTAATAACAGGAAGTAACGTGTGAGAAACTACTAAGTTACTGTAAAATAAGTTCTATTACAATTAACCTTAAGTTTTATACTTTAGACGAGTAAAATAATTTCAACAACTTGTAAACACTGTCAACGGAGCAATTGACCAGTCATAATGAAGTCACGTGGATAACGCAGTATGATGATCTTTTAATCTAG